AATAACTCTATAGTTTTTTGGGTTTTTTTGGGTGGAGAGGGCTAGTATGTGTGTCCATGAGGATCTCAGATACCTTAGAAATACCACCATGCACCTTTAAAGATAAGGAGGTTAACCAACATGTCAAAACATCTGACCAGGTGACCAGTCAGATACATTTTGAATATTAATAAGCAACCCAGAAAATAAAGCATTTTGCACTACTTTTCATCTATTATTGTTAAAAGTAGTAAGGTTAGAATTGAAAACAGTTTACTATGTGCTCTGCAAGTAATTGAGGAGGAGACAGCAGAAAAGGGGTAAGAGGGAAGCTGAATTCAGTGAACAATTAAATTCCTATGCTTTATTTGCCCCAAATGGCATCATATCATAACTCCATTGGATCACCTCTTAGCAATTCATACAGGAAGGAAGAAGGGGGTGCTGTCTCACAGAGAATTGATGCAATTTGTGGAATTGTCATTTCCAGCATGTATCTTACAGCAGGAGTGCCTCTATCATGACCTCAATGTTCCTCCTTTCTGTTCCAGATCTGTACGTCTTCTCACCACTGTCTAATTAGGTGATACGATAAAACAGAAATGTCCATTAGGGACCAGGCTGAAATTACCAGAATTACTTCACTTGCAACCTACTTTGAATTCAGGTCTTGAGAACTGGGAAGTGGGCAATTGTATTAATCCACATTTTAATAAACTCTTGATAATTTATTATTAAACTGGGCATCCTTCCTACCTCTGTCCCCAGCCACTCCCCACAACTGCTTACCCTTCAAATATTCTGGGACTTCTTTTGCATCCCAGGAAGGTCTAATGAAAATTAATTGGTAGTACCACAAGCTTTCCCTTTCAGACTGCTTCAATTTGGATATTTTTGCAGACAGAAGCAGCCCATAGTTTATCCATTATTTAGCACTTTCTAGTACTTGAAACTGACATCAGGTATTTGCCCTCCAGGTGCCCCATCAGCTTGGTTACCCTTATAACAGGGTAACCAAGAAAGTCTAATTTGATTTACCAAACTGGATGCTGGTGTGTATAACATCACAGACTTCCCACTATTAGCTCTGGCTGAGATGGAACTCAGCAGCTAACAAGGGCAGTTAAGCATCTACCATTAAGAGTGAGGAGAAATCCCTTCACAATTTTAAATAGCTTTGCATTTCTAAAATGCTTAGGGATCACTTAAAATCCACAGATGCTTTTGAAAGAGGCATGGTTCACTTCACAGTCAGTCATAATGTTGCCTTGCCTGGTCTGAGCACAGAAGACATATGCAGCTGACGTAGCTTTGGAAGGTCACAATTGCTATATTTACTGGAGCTTATTATTAACTGGAAACTCTATTTTTGTTATCAAGTGCTCTTGTCAAATCCAGGCTTGCTGTCAGAGGGCAGTGAAAAAGTGATATTCCCTGAGAAGCTGTCCTTCTTATGACCGTTCAATAGTATCCCTAAATGAAGATTTAATGTATTTTGAATGGAAAACAGAATCCGTGTTCCATCCATTCTGAGTCAGGAAAAAACAAAAGCATAAGCAGCACTCAGCCTTTTCTCCATGGATATATTTCTGCAGAGCAGCAGGACTTTGGCAGCAGAGCTCTCTTCATAAAGCAAGCCATTTTCAGGAGGGTTGGTGGGGTGATTTTTTTTTCTTTTTTTGGAAGAAGAAATAACCCAAACAGTGTGTTCTGGGAGGTACTTACTTTAGTGATTCCTGAAATTCTCTCCTTTGCTTTCCAGCTTTAATTTTATTATCTAAGTATAATTATCTTTCCTTCCCATGTGTTGTGCATCTGCTCTACAGGCTCCAGCCAGGAGAATAACCATATGGGGACATGAAAATCTCCACTGCATTGATGCCAGAAGTCAAGTTTATGTTCATTCCAAATGGCATAAAAGGCTGCTTGTATATTTTCCCTTTACATCCCTTCCAGTGACTTAAATCTGTGGTGCTGTCTAAAGCACACAAGAAAAGAAAAGGCCTGTCAGATTATGAACTGAAAAATACTTCTCATAGTGCTGGAATTTGGATGATCAATGAGTTTTACTTTAAAGCACTTATACCACTGAGTGTTTTCTGCTTCTTTCTTTGTCAGGTAGCAATTACTGCACAAGGACGAGCTCTCCTTCTGACTGATCCCAGTACTTTTCTTCATTTTTGCTCATGACAGATTCCTTCCCCAAACCTGCATAGAGGCAATATTCTCTGTAGGAGTGAAAATCATTCTGTTAAAACTTCTCCAGTGTCTGGTGCTCTCATTAGGTAAATACCTCACCTGCTGCACTACCTTTATCATTCAGTGCTGGTTAGAACTGGTATGAAAATACTGTGTAGGCATTGCTAAAAAAGACAGTCAACATCAACACAGCTTGATTCAAGCTGATGCTGAGTTACTGACTTGTCCTGGGAAGGGGTAGTTACTTCATGTTGGACAAGCAATTGTTGTGTACAATTGCTTGTCATAAAATGAAAGGTTAAAGAAAATTGTGCCATTGTGGACAGAATGGCATTTAGAAAAAGTAATAATAATCAAAAGTCCTGGCTGTACTCAAGCAAAAGTAGCCAAGTACTGATTGCTTTCTAAAGAACTCAAACTGTGTGATATATCCTTGTTTTTATAAACAGCTATTTGAAAACACATGCGAACTTCTGGCAGACACAGTCCTCACCTATAAGTCTGACCTGAAAGAAATTTGGTGTATGGAATTCATTTTCATGCAGTAAAATCCATTTTACTTGTAATGAATTTGTTGCTAGACGGGAAAAAAGCAATACCTACCATTCCTTTCTCTGATGCAGGGCCAGGAGCACTACTTGGTCTAGCATGGCTGAAAATCTCATGGCCATAGTGCAGTTCCACAACAAAATGCTGGTTCCCGTGCCAGCTAGGCCTACTGAACTTTGGTGCTGATGTTGCTCTCTGAATGATGACAGCTTTGAGAGATAACTGAAAATAGAAACTTTACCCTAGAAATTTATTTGGATCAGGCTGGAATTGTCACTTATTGGCTCCCTGGGACTGAGCTTCTTTGTAGTATTTTTCCAAGGCTTGATCTTTCCCGCTCACCATGTGAGTAGAATTTTGACTCTTTACAGTGGAAGAGTCAGTGTTCCAAAGTCATTTTGAGGAGTCGTTTTCTTTACTATTGCTTTACATATTCCTATGTCATGTTCCCACTATTTTTGTTCTTCTGGAATTGTGTTTTCAGATCCCACTGACTTGCATATTTCCCAGTGCCATTTCTTATTTGCCAGATGTGAAACACAGACATCATGGTGTGGTAACTCTGAGTATCCTCAAAATCTGTGCAAATAAACACTTGTTCTGAAAGTCAGTGCTCTTCTGCAGCCAAGAAAGCTCAGGAGGCAGCAAAATGGACAAATGGCTACCTACAGTGTCAGCTCCTCATTGTATTGACCTCTGCAAGAGGTAGCAGCCAGCACAACTTCTCATGGGGTTACAGGCAGGGCTCTGTGGCTGTGGTGGGATACATGTCTGGAGTATCACTACAGCTAAAGCTTAATCTTGTCCATGTAGCATCAGGCAAGTGACAATCTGTAAAATGGTAAATTTATCCAACCTTAGAAATACATATAACCATAATCTATTTCTATGGAAAACATACCATTTTAACTTTTGTTCATCTATAATACAGCTCAATCCAGAACTGGGAACATGTGTTGCTTGTGAATCGTAAATAATCGATTCAGGACTGGATGTGGTCTCAGCAGCAGGAAATTCGTGCTGGTCAATGCCTCTGAAAGGATGAGTGTTCATCTACTTTTGTGTGCTCCCTTCCTTTCTTCTCCTGTGTTGCATGTTAGCTGAGTCTGGGGAGTGAGTTGTTGAAGTATGGTTATTTATGAAGAATAAGGGAGACATTCTAGATCAGATGTGCACAGCTCTCCATAATCCTTGCATCTGTTGTATTCTCTATTAGTTTTCACAATGACACTTGGCATTTCCTTAATTGTTAAAGATGTTTTAAATCGATCTTTTTGAACTGATTTTCTCTGCTGTCACATCTGCCACTTCATGTCAGACTTCAAACATTCCTGTTCTGGCTCAACCTCAGTATCCTTACAGTACTTGATGTGTTTTTTCTGGGAAACATCTGCCAGATTCCAGTATAATTTCCTGCTATTTCTAAATGCCAAGGTTAATATTGGATGTGGCTGGGTTTAGTACTGGCCTCATTATTTTAGCATCCCTTAGAGGCTCCATTTTCTTTTTCCCTAACTTTTCATTATTTACACTAGTGAAAATACATCTCATTCTTTATGATGGTGTTGAATTAGCAGTGTAAATATCATCTTTGATTCTTTTAGGTATTATCTGTCTATTTTCCTGTTCACTAAGGAATGATTCCTTAGCTCTCCCCTCCCTTTGATCATGAAAGCTACTTTCTCATTACCATCATCAGAACTTTAATTATAAAGCCCCACTTGCTATATCTGTGAGTAGCAGAACCAGTTCTTAAAGTAATATATTTTATATTTTATCTTTTTATTTCTTTTTTGTACAGCTTTACTTAGAATTGGCTTCAGAAAGATTGTATTCAAAGGAATTCACATTGAATTATAATTTGATCAATATTCCAAATGCCAGATATTAGACTTTAGGCAGACTATATTTGTGGACTGCATTCATCAAATAGGCTGTGTATCCCTGTGCTGGGGAAGACAGGGACAGAACAGTTATATTAATCTGCTAGTTAAAGTTGACAAAAATAACCTTTAGTACTCTTCATTTATGTACATTTCCTCCTAGTTATCTTGACTAGAGAAGACAGTTTGTAGCACGGAAGAACTTTCATAAGCTGATTTTCAATAGTTGGAAAAGATTAGTGATAAGTTGATGCAGCAAGTTGTGGGCAAAAATGCTAATAATGAAATTATATATTGCTGAATATCACCTTGTTTTGAATTAAATAAGGTCTGTATTCCAACAGATATCTAGGCTGGAGATTCTGCTGCATACAGTACTGCTTCCACTCTGTAGAATGGAGCCATTATGTGGGGGAATAGCACGGCATATACAGATGTCAAGTGAAATTCCTTTAAAACTAGCCTTTGTAAGTACTGATTCAGATATGTAAGCTAGTTGAAATCTATGTGTATATGTGACTTTTTGCATAATTGCTTAAGAGGTACAAGTAATAACAATTTCATTAGTTCTAATTTCTAAAGCTTTATAAAGAGTATTTAAATCAAGCCACCGGTTGTGCTGGAAATGCAGTTATATCTAAATAACAGCTGCTGTTTTACATTAACCTCTCCTTCCAATCAACATGTAAAACTGCAGTATGAAAAAAATGTAAATTCAGTGGAAGTATTCTAAAGTCAATAGTAAACAAAAAAAACCCAACTTCATTAAAAGGTATTATTTTTTTGGAAAATGAAAAGAAATTATTCACAAGAACTTTTAAATCTCTCTGATATCATGAATTATTTGCATTTGTTTGCTTGCAAAACATTTGCTATACTGTTTTCCCATGTGCACATGCCTGTTGAATATAACTTTAAAATACCCTTTTTAATGGACTATCTTTAAGTTTTATTTATCTTAACTTCAAATGGGTGCTTCAGAATAGGTACTTGACAGATGTTTGCTGGGCTAAAGTTGAGCCTTGATATATGCCTCATCTTTTTTGAATGTTCCTCCTTTTTTAGTTTTCATTTTTCTCAGAGAAACAAAATGAAAGAACTTGGCAAGGCTATTCAGCTTGATGCTCTGAGGCATTACATGAGTCATTGGAGGAGACTGGAAGATATTCGCATTCTTGCCAGCAATTCAGCCTTTTTACAAGGTTCTTGTTTAGAAGTAATGGACAACCTTTCCACTGCAATCTCTTCCTCATGCTTTAATTCACCAATAGTGCCAGGATGATGGGCCTCACCATTATAAATATAGCAGCAAATGTAATTATTTTGAATATTTTAAAGGTTTTTCTTAACCTATTCAGTTATCTATTCATGATTTGTCAATTATTTTCATGGATGAAAAAAAGGGTTGCTTCATGGGGGGAAACACAATGAATCAAACTAATTAATGTAATTAATAATGTTGGAAGTTTATTATGGTATTTCTAACCAAGTTCCCCCTGAACAAGACAACTAAGAAAAAATGCATGAACAAATTTTTTTCAGTTATTTTCTAATTCTAGATTCTATTCCTAATTCTATTTTCTAATTCTAATTTCTAGATTCCATTTCTTCTCAGCTCTGCCTTCTATTATGTTCTCTATAAATCTCTCTGTAGTTAGTGCTGGCTTGTAGTTTGAAAGATGTAATAGCAATTTGGGTTTATGATTTCTACATCAGCTTGAAATAGAATTGAAACTGTTGTGAGTTAACCTCAAATTTAATCCTTCCAAAACTTGAAGCCAGATCCTACTAATCTTCAGAAAATCATATGTTTATTTTAAACAGAATCTTATCTTTCTCCCACTGCTATGCCTTTAGCCACTGCAGTGAAACAAGGATGTATATGGGGATCCAAAACAAAAACTAACAACACAAATATGAAATACAATACAAATACCTAATAAAAAACTCAAACTGACATATTGTGGAGCCTTGTGGAGAATCTGTCAGGTGGCAAAAACAGTACCATGGTCTTTGGATTACCAAAGAATGAGGTGTAACATGAAAATTCCTGTGAAATACATTAATGTTTTTTCTTTACTAAGGTTCTTTTTTCAAAGGATATTGAGACTGAATCTTTCAGTTAGCTGATGCCCAGAGGGAAGTTTTCTTTCTTTGGTATTTTGGATTAGTTACCAAAAGTAAATGCTCCTCTTCTGCTGTCTACTATGTTGCCTGAGGCTGTTCTTCCACTGAGGCTGTCATAAATTTTGTTACTTCTAATTGATACTTATTAATGCACTTTTAATTCAGTTGCTTTATGTGATGTGTGAGAAACTTGATGTTTATTTTTACCTAGTTCTGGAGGCATGGTTTCTACAGCAGCTTTTTGTGCAACATATCAACTCAGCAGCACGGTCACCCATGGACAGCCTGCAGTCTCTGTGAGGCTGCGCAGGTTTTGGCTGGGGTAGAGTTAATTTTCTTCATAATAGCTTCAGTTTGGACAGAGCTGTGTTCAGAGCTGTGCTGCTGGGCACTGTTGCACAGTGCCTTTTCTGCTTCTCACACTTTCCCCGCAGTGAGTGCATTGGGGGCTGCAGGAGAAAGAGATGAGACACAGCCAGGACAGCTGACCCCAAATGACCAAAGGGATATTCCATACCATATGGCACCAGACTCCATATACAAAGAGTGGGAAAGGAGGAGAAAGGGGAAGGTGTTCAGAATGATGGTATTTTTCTTCCCAAGGAACTGTTACTGTTACAGGAAGCTGTGCTCCCCCTGGGGTGGCTGAACCCCTGCCTCCTCCATGGGAAGTGGTGAATGAATTCCTTGTTCTGCTTTGCTTGTGTGTGCCGCTGTTGCTTTCCCTAATAATTTCCCTTTATCTCAACTCACAAGTTTTCCCATTTTTAATACTCCAATCCTCTCCCTCATCTGACTGTGAGGGAAGTGAGCAAATGGCTGTTTGGGACTTGGTTGCCAGCTTGAGTTAAACCACATGGGGAGCCTGAGTCTGAGAATCTGAAAAGAAGCATTCCTCAGAGGACACTTCAACTGTCCCTGAGCCCACATGTGGAAGTTCATTGGTTTCATGGTCCATCAGCCTGATCTCAAAACCAGTTATATGCTGGTACCAAGCCATGTGGGTAGACAGCGCCTAATGCAATTTATTTTAAATCACAACCCTGAGATTGCTCTGTGGATCAATGTCTCAAAATATTGGAGGCTGACATGAATCCAAATAGCTGGATATACAGGTCTGTGGTATGGATGTTATTACTGCCAACCATAATAAACAGTCTGTTTTATTGCTTTCTTGGGGGAACAAAGCCCACATTCACTCAAGAAATGAGGGGTGTTGGCCATTTCTAATAAATGTTAAATAGATTTTTACCATTTGCAGTTTTACTAGAGCAAATTGATACAGTATTCCTGCCAATTTGTTACCACGTCTTTAGTTGTGAAAAACAGATGAGCAAATATAGCATGCAACAGAGTGAGAAACAGGTTCTACTTCAACAATTTTGCTGGAGTTTTACGCCTTATAACTTACTTGGTAAACTGCATGCTTGATTGAAAAGGAAATGGTGTGTTCAGTTGATGTCAGGCCAGTGTCAACATGATGTTAATGTTAACGCAGAAGTCAAATGTTGGTTTGGGGAGGCAGACATTACTGCTTAGAGGTACTGCAAAGCATGGGAATTTACATAGCTTGTTGTTAGTTGAGTGTCAGTAGATACCTACACCAGTGTACTGAAAGGCAATCAAGAATGCTGGATGCACTAATATACCACCTCGTTTTGGTAATTTAACTGAAAACTGGAAAAGAGAGATAATGTAACCTAGGGTGAAATACTCCTTAACATCCAGAAAGAAATGCCGTACTAGAAAAGTCCAGTTAAACTTAGTGAGTTAAGCTGCTTGCTTTCTCTACTGAAACTAGTGTAGAAAAAGATGGAGCTTCTGATAATGTTCTGCTTGAGTCACTTATTTTTCTCCTTTACAATTAAGCTGCAGGAAAACCAGCTGATGTTAATGGTGTGCTGTAATGAGAACACACAAAGAGACAAGGCTTGACTAAAGCTCACTAAGCATTATTCTTCCTTTAGTGGTGACAAGTGGTGAAGGACTGAGGAAAGGTACAACAGATTAAACACATGTTTCTGCTCTACATCTTCTCAGGTTCTGTTGATCTGAGGATCAAGGGCAGAGACAATATCAATCCAGTAGTGGTTTCTCACCTTCGGAATTCTGTTTTCTCCGATTCCAAAAGCTCTTTCAATTTTTCTGTTAGGACTTACTTCCTCAGTGAGTTTTGAGAGTTTTCCTCCAATGTGTAAGTGGATGCTACATCATGGAAGGTGATTTCATGGTTTTATAGTATTTCTTTTTTTATCTGTTTGGCTCAGTCTACCGTTCCTGTGGATTATTGATGAAATATGCTGGTATTATATAGACTACTGGCAATTATGTTAGTTCCTGCTGCTCAGTTTCCTTTACCATGTTTTCCAATTTGTTAAATAGTGTGAAAACACAGTTAAAAACATTTAAGTGAAAAACTTGATATGTCATTCTTTCTTGTTGAAGTTTCTTGTAGGGAAAAACCCAACAATAATTCTCATTGAATAGAATTTATTTCTCAATTGCTATTCTTCAAACAAGACTTTGTTGCACAGTGGTAGATCCATTTTTTTAAGTCCAGAAGAAATCATTATTGGCATCCAGTCTTAACTGTTGTGTATATGGGGCCCATATTTTCTGTGCATTTTTCCTTCAGCAAGACCCCTGACATGTCTATCAGAAGAACACCTCATGTTAATTAGATGCTAAGAATAAAGCTATCAAAATGATCAAAATATGTGCCACTGGCCATTCATTTGGCAAGTTATTGACTGAGTTCATGTAATGTGTCATGCAAATGATCTCTCAATGGACTCAGTGATAAAATTCTAGACAAATAGCCAATACTGAACCCATTACTCTAAGTCTAGTTTAGAAGAAATAAGAGAGGTTTGTCCATTCAAGATGGCAAAGTGTAGTCTGGAATGATTATTCTCACTTTAAACTGTCAGTAGTTTTCTACCATTGTAGTTTAGAGTCATATGACATTATGCTGTCTGCTGAAGTTTTCATCATGCTGCAAATTTTCCCATGATGCTGTCTTTCAAAATTTCTTTTAAAAATCATATTTAGAAAAAAAAAACTCCAATATGTATGAAATTGAATGTTAAAAATGGTAAATTTTATACTATAGATATTTAGAAAATCTCAACAGACCTGTATATCAATAATGTCTGTAAAGAAATACATTAAGAGAAAATTTGAGGAGTTAAATTGTTGTGGCTGAGGAACTGATGTTTGAACCATGTTTATGCTCCTGAATTTACCTCAGACTTGCTTTATTGTGTTCCCTGAACAGACATCAGCAGCCAAACAGAGCACATATACTGGGTTCATTTCTCCTGAGAGATTTCCAGTTTTC